CTTCTGCCCTCTCCTACTTTGATCTGCCCTTGGGAAAGCATAATTCAAAGTACAGGAAGTCACAGGTTTGTTTTTTGCAAATAAAACAAGTTGTGTTCATAGCTCTCTAATTTCTCCAAAGTAGATTAGGCAACAAATCCAACTCTAAGTGGTTTTAAAAAAAGAACATGTATGCAAAGTACTTGCATATCAAAGGAAGTAGCTGTTTTAGAAGTGACGTCAGTTAATGAGTAGTGATAATACTTACAACCCATATGATGATCAACCTCCTGGATAAATAAGGGTCAATATTCCAGTGGGTAAATGGAAGAAATGTGATGTAGAACACTTCTTGACCCAAAGCAGCTGAAAATCTGAATAGGTAATAGTAGAAATAATTCTTCACGATGTACTTCTGTACAAAAGCCTAAAAGACAAAAGTTAGGAGGCTCTGTGAGTTCATGCAATATGTCAGTATGGGGCAAGTTTTAAACATCTCTGTCTAAAACTCACAGGTTTCAATTGCCAAAATGCTGCCTCCTCTCCCATTATGTTACTAAGGTATTGTTACTGTCACTGAACGCTTTTCAACCTCAGTTTATCCAAACAAACACAGAGGATGTGAGTTTTTTTTGTAAAATTAAATAACTAATGTCCAAGACAGAAGAACTAGGAGAAGACACCAAAAAATAAAAGCCGAAAACTTTTTTCTTGTGTATACAGAAAGCTAGAAACCTGAAGAAAGTCAACTCTGTTAGGACATTATATGGGTCTCTGTGGTAGGCAGAGTAATGCTTCCCTCAAAGATTTCTACGTCCTAAATCCTAGAACTGAATATATTATCTTACGGGGCAAAAGAGACTTCAAAGATGAGATTAATAATCTTTCTATTTTAAAATTTGTATTGACACATAGTAATTGTACACATTTATGAGGCACACGTAATATTTTCATACACACATACAACATGTAATGATCAGTCAGGGTACTTTGGATGTCTGTTACCTCAAACATTTATCATTTATCATTTCCTTGTGCTGGGAACATTTTAGATATTTTCTAGCTATTTTGAAATAGACAATAACTTATTCTTAACTGTAGTCACCCTATTGTGCTATTGAACACTATAACTTATTTCTTCTAATTGTATATTTGTACTCATTAAACAACCTCTCTTTATCCCCTTGCCTTCCCAGTCTCAAACTAATAATCTTGAGATGGGGAGATTATTCTGGATTTTCTGAGCCCACTCAATTTTTTAGAAATGGAAGGAGGAGGCAGAACGGTCAGAGTCAGAGAATGATTTGAAGATGCTAAGCTGCTGGCTGTGATAATGGAGAGAGTGACTATGAGTCAAGGAATTTGCATAGCAACCTCCGGGAGCTGGGGAAAGCAAAGAATCAGATTCTTTCCTCCAGTCTCCAGAAGAAATACCACCAAGCTTACACCTTCATTTTGGCCAAATATCCATTTTGGACTTCTGATCTGTAAGAGAATAAATCTGAAACTGCTTCAGATTATAAGAGTGAAGAAGTCTAGCCTGGCTGACTCGATCTTGCTTCTAGCCTCACAGGCAGGCTATACTCGCTCACTCTGGGGCATAGGCAAGACTACCTGTGGGAGGAATTTAGTTAGTTGTTTAGTTTAACTTTGTTTTGTTGTTGTTGTTGTTGTTTGTTTGTGAGATGGAGTCTCACTCTGTCACTCAGCCTGGAGTGCAATGGACTGATCTTGGCTCACTGCAACCTCTGCCTCCCAGGTTCAAGCTATTCTCCTGTCTCCCAGCCTCCCGAGTAGCTGGGACTACAGATGTGTACCACAATGCCCGGTCATTTTTATATTTTTAGTAGAGACGGGGTTTTTCCATGTTGGCCAGCCTTATCTCAAACTCCTGAGCTCAGGTGATCTGCCTGCCATGGCCTTTACTTTAATTTAACTCTGAAGCAAGGATGATAATAGTCCCTCCCTAAAACTGGTCTGCCCCCTGTTGGGGGATGAAAACCTCCTTTGTAAGACTAATGAAAGGCCACAAGCTCAGAATTTTGGGAAAGGCCCGAATTCTGCTAAGATGTAGGCATAGTTAAAGGACAACCAGCCACTGTCCCCTAGCTTACCTTGCTACAATTCCCTTACTGCTCAGGAGTCATGTGGCCAGAGGCCACAAGATTTGTGACTTCCCCAATTGCTCCTATAAATAACATTAGTATTATAGAACATAATATTTGTCTTTTGAGATGTTTTCCAGACTTTTGCATTCTGGTGACCAACTGACTCCACCTGGACCCATGACTTATGACTCCGCTGGTCTTGTGGCCCCCAACCAGAGGCTGGTTGGCATGATAAACTCTCATCTTCCACTTGGCTACCTGGCTATGCATTAATTAAACTCTTTCTCTACTGCGATACAACTGTCTCAGTGAATTGGTTTTATCTGTGCAGCAAGCAAGAAGAACCTATTGGGAGATTACAAATTTGCATTTTAGGCCACTAAGTTTGTGGTAATTTGTTATGGCAGCAATTGATAACTACTATAAAGATGTTAGAAAAATCCCTTGCCTCCGAACTTTATAAATTCACCTTTTAAATGGTACTAATAAAGTTAACCCATCACAATGATGGTGTGAGAAACACTTAGTAGAAAGTACACGAGACTGGTTAAAATGCATTCTCATTTTCTATCATCCTTTTCTTCCCACTTATCCTGGTAGTGGGCAGAAAAGAAAGACTTAGGGAGTTAAAACAGAAAATCAGCAATCTATTAAAGAATATGGTAAACATCTTTATGTTATGGTATATTAACAAATTAAAAAACAAAAACAGGATCACCCTGTTATATGAAACTAAAAAATAGAATTTTAATGCTACTTAAGGTAGTCATAAACTTTATAAAGATAAAATCAAAGTAAAATGTCAACACTGAAACAGAAGAGAAAGAGGCAATACTGTTACAGGAGATTTTTCTCAAGACCCTTAGAGATCTGGGTTCTTGTTTTGTTTTGTTCTATATAAAGTCTGAGGTTCTTGAATCCCAAGGGATTTCAGAGAACGAGTTATGTGTGTTTATGTATTGTTCTGGAAGTATTCATTCTGTGCCTGATGTTCAGCACTTGGGCAAGGTGCTAAGCATATGTAGAAGAGCTAGGTGTGATGTTCTGCTTCAAGAATCTCTTATGGGAGAGTGGGGAAGAGTACAATTTGGGGGAACAAATTTTTCAAGGATCAATGTTGTGCTTAAGGCCTTAAAAAAGGCCAAGAGTACTTTTATACTTGAAAAATAAAAAAAATATGACCTTGGAAAGTGCAAGGACATAATTGTACTTGACACTATTGGTGGACTATCAAGTATACATTCCTCTCTCTTACCTCCCCAAGAGGTTCCCAGTTTTACTCCATCATCTCTACCTCCCCCACATAGCCCTGTGACTCAGGGGAAAGTTGACACTGCTCCCCGTGAGTGGATCTAGATTCATCCAAAGGAGTCGTGATAAGCACAAGAATTCAACTCCAGGCCAAGCAGTGCACAGGACTACCCAGGAGACAGTTACTGGGCAGGGATAAGTGCATGATATGATCTAAAAAGGGGCCTCCCATCAGGAATAAACTTTACTTCCAAGTGAATTCGAATGAAAGAGAACAGCACTATATCCATCCTACCCAGGAAAGACAGTAAGGCACGAAATGAATTAGATAAGGAAGCGTATAGTTTCTCTGCTAAGGTATCATGGTTGCACATGCAAAACAAACACAAAGGTCTGAGACAAATAAGTGACAAATGCCTCTCTCTAGAGCAGAAACGTGAACTACCTGAGGTAAGGACAAGTCTCTGCAGGTTCTGTTTATGAATATACAATCCAACAGGCCTGACCTTGAGGCACACTCTATAAAGAGCTCCTTTTTAGATAAAGGTTATTTATACCAGGTACACCTGATAATCTTTCCAGCTTTGAAGCTTTATGAGGATAAATTTTGCCAAACTCTAACAAACGTCAACCCCCTCCGTGGTGTCATTTCATAATACTCAAGTGTTATATGACATTATAAATACTCAGCAACAATCATTTTCCTGCTCTAGACATTTACCTGAGACCGCGTTCAATATCTTAATCCTAGTAAACAATTGAAAAGGCCACCAAAAATGACAGCAAACTGATTTGAGTGCTACATATCATTCACTGATATCTTTAGACAGGCTTTATTATAATCTCTCAGGAATATGTTTTTTGAGGGAAAAGCTAACCATTCTATAACTCTTCTCAGGAACAGAATAACCAAAGATGAAGTTTAAAATACCAGCATATATAGATGACACCCCAAGGATTTCTTAGATAACTTCTCTGTATACATGATTAAATATACTTCCCTCCAAATTCTTGGGGGTTTAGACGTATCTAAGTAAAACAACACGCACTTGTCTTTTTAAATTTTTTAAATTTTAAGTTCTATGATATATGTGCAGAATGTGCAGGTTTGTTACATAGGTATACATGTGCCATGGTGGTTTGCTGCACCTATCAACCCTTCACCTAGGTTTTAAACCCCGCATGTACTAGGTATTTGTCCTAATGCTCTCCCTCTCCTTGTCCCCTACCCCCTGACAGGCGCCGGTGTGTGATGTTCCCCTCCCTATGTCCATGTGTTCTCATTGTTCAACTCCCACTTATGAGTAAGAACATGTGATGTTTGGTTTTCTGTTCCTGTGTTAGTTTGCTGAGATCGATGGCTTCCAGCTTCATCCATGTCCCTGCAAAGGACACGAACTTATTCTTTTTTATGGCTGCATGGTATTCCATGGTGTATACGTGTCACATTTTCTTTCTCCAGTTGATTATTGATGGACATTTGGGTTTGTTCCAAGTCTTTGCTGTTATAAACAGCACAGCACTAAAACATAAAACAATACACCTATCCTTTTAGAATAAAAGGATAGAGTTTCCTTTGTAGGAAATCTCAGTGTGTGTGACTTCTATACATCTTTGGAAATAATAGGAATTTCACTTCCAGTGTGTATGTTGGTCCCACTGGGAACAATTAGAGAAAAAAGAAATAGTGTTTAGAAATGGTAGGTAATGTAGGGCCGGGTGTGGTGGCTCACGCCTGTAATCCCAGCACTTTGGGATGCCGAGGTGGGCAGATCACCTGAGGTCAGGAGTTTGAGACCATCCTGGCCAACATGGTGAAACTCTGTCTCTACTAAAAATACAAAAATTAGCTGCGCGTGTTTGCATGTGCCTGTAGTCCCAGCTATTCAGGAGGCTGAGGTAGGAGAATCACTTGAACCCAGGAGGCGGAGGTTGGAGTGAGTCGAGATTGTGCCACTATACTCCAGCCTGGCAACAGAGTGAGACTCTATCTTGAGAAAAAAAAAAATAGAAATGGTAGGTAAAGTAGAATGTCAGAGATGAGAAACCAAGTTCCAGAATCCTACTT